TTGATCTTCCCCTTGGTTTCGATAATATTTTTGACAGGATTCAGGGTTTCTCTTTTCTTTGTCCTTTTTTTCTGTCCTCCTCCTATTCTTTTCATTTATTTTCTACTTGTAGCAGCTCGCTCAGCTCCCTCTATAGTCGTGCGATGGAGCGCCACATATGTACACACTGTCAAGGCCTGCGAGACAACTTGCCCCAACATTTCAAGTGTGAATTGGACTCTTGGAATTTTCCCCGGCGCAGATGATATATATAATTCATGCTGGGGTGTGAGAGCAGTGTCAACGTGTCAGGCGATTGAAGAAATGTAAAAGTGGACTGTTTACTGGTCGAGAGACACACTCTTTTTTTCTTTTCTTCTCGGAGTAGGGGAAAGAGAGCTTATGGTTCATCAAAACCTCGCCTGCCTGTCTGGTTGTGATGCACGGGGAGCCACACTAATCAAAGAAATGTCAGCACCAATGTATTTTCTTAGTTATCTTCAGGAAAAAAAATGTCCTGGTTTTAATTATTCAACTGCATCAATTAATTATGGTCACTTCTTGTCAAGTACGCTGTGCACAAACACATGCTTGATGATACATCACGATTCTCACTTTGTAGCTGAGCATCGATCCATTGTTCAGATATTTTGTGATTTATTTTTGGGATGCTTATTTGGCAGCGATTAAAAACCCCCTGATGTTAGTAAACTAGATGATATATATATATATATATATATATTAGAACAGGCGGTTTTATATATCAATTAGAACAAACGGTTTACAGGATAATTATCGAAAATATCCTAAACAATATCTTTAAAAAGATATTTGCTTAAAAGTAAAAGATCTCTTTAGAGAATGCATTAAGACATTTTTTCTTACCACACGTATTTATTTATTCATTCATTCATTGATTTATTTGGTATGATATAACTTATATCATAACTTAAACAGTTTTGCAGGAAAACAAGACAAAAATATGGAAATTGTGCAATGTGCATGAACAGGATAATTTGAGTCACACCTTTTAGTAATATGGTTGTCAGTCTTGAACACTGTGTAGATTCAACACTTAAATGGATTCAAATATTGAGATATTGCAGTGAGATATCATCTCAGTGCCACCAAAGGAGAACATCTTGGTGGCCTGGTGGATTTCTGTTATAACTCCAAATAATGGTGCCCATAAAACGTGTGTGACATCTTGGCTTTAAGTGCAGTGTAGAAGAGGCATCTCTGTTTGATGACTTCTCAGTGAAGAGTTCATTATCAGAACATTGAGCAGAGGTCAGGCATCTGTCTGCAAAGCGTTGCTCTGATTCCTACAGAGAACGTTCAAACAGAAAGTCACATTGGTTCATTCTGATGTGTTAGCAGTCTGTTTTTTCACTGTTGGCATTCCTAATATGGATAATTTGAGTCGACTTTTTTTATGTGAGTCATCCTTCAGTGAGTGCAGGAATAAGACTGATTTTGACAAACATGAGAATGGAAGAAGCTCCTTTAAGGGTATGACCTGTAGGCCATCTTGTTCTGTCATGGACAGTCCAGTGAAGTCCAGCTCAATGTATAGGTCTTTTACAGAGTAAACTTGTTTCTCCGATCTCAGCAGAGTGTCTGGTGAGTCAGAAGGCTGACACAATTTAGGCTCTACTGCTTTCTTATATATAAGAAGTCTACCATGACTTCATGGGAATTACAACAAAATGCTTCTCTTCATGTACCACAAAAACATAAAGGCTTTGACACGTGCATTCAGAGTTTCTAGTACACATCAATGATGTTCCTTGTATTCAGAGAAAAAAAATATAGGCAAGAAAAAAACATGGTACATAGTAACATTCCTTCATTTTTGTACGCACCTTCACTGTATTCATAATGAATTTTCTTAACACTGAAAAGAAAAATATATATTTTTATTAGTATTTTTTTTATATTTTTCCAATATAAAAATATGCTGTATATGCACTACTGTTCAAAAACGTTTTTTTAAAGAACTCAATACTTTTATTCAGGAAGGAGTCTTTATATTGTTCAAAAATTACTCTAAAGACATTTATAATGTCACAAAAAGATTTTATCAAAAATGCTATTCTTTAAATGTTCTGTTCATCAAATAATCCTGAAAAAAGCATACTTCATCAAGAAGCATATAGTTTCCAACTAATAATAACAACAGAAAAGCAACTAATAATTGTAAAAAATGTAAAATGTAAAAAATTTAAAATATATTAAAATAGAAAACAGTTATTTTAAATTATAAATAAATGCAGCCTTGGTGAACATAAGACTTTCAAAAACATAACAAAACAGTAGTATACATTCTAAAAAACAAGATCATTTGAATTTCATGAAAATTTGTTAGACTTGCAAGACATGACTAATGTATTAAAACTTGTTTTCAGATATTACATCTGGAATTGTTTTTCTAACGCAATGTCAGATATTTTTATTGTTACTGTTTTAATACACAAATCCAAAAAAAAATCAAAAATCAAAAATCATTTGAAAGGGTTTTGTTTAAAATAAGAAAAAGTTTAAAGGGGTCATATGATGCAGCTAAAAAGAACATTATTTTGTGCGTGAACATTTGGGCGTTGTTATGCAAATCTTCCCACATAGTGTGGGGGCGTGTTAGAACGAGCCATTTTAGGTAGGTGTGGCTGACTCTTAACTTTTATAAAGAATATCTCTTTGGATTTGAGACTTTAGTCTTTGCAACTTTACAGATCTTCTTTATGCACCAAGAGCTTGTAACACTCCAAAGAGAAAGGAAAAATTTAAATCGCATCATATGACCCCTTTAAGTTTCCTTTCAGGAACTCGAGCTGCGTCAAAACGCTATGGGAACGCCTTCAGTGTTCGTGCTCTGAATCACGTGTGTAATCAGTCCAATGGATGGGCGAGACGTCACGGGCGGGGTGACGTAGTGACCAGGATCCTTAAAAGCACGTGCGGTGGATACAGCATCAGCTTTCTGTCATTCAGCAAGCGCTCTGTGTGTGTGTCAGTCACTATTTGTTGTGAGTCTTATTTAGTGTTGTTTGTCCACTTTATAAGCTCCATTATGTCAAAGCTTCAGCCAAAAAGAAGCATTTGGGCGAGAGCAGGCAGCGTTTCAGGCTGTGTGTTCCTCCCTGCCCGTGCTACAAAAAAAGTTTCGGGTGGGGACACACACAGTTTTTGTGTTGTCTGCTTGGGAGCAAAGCACGCAGAGTCAGCTCTCGAGGCAGGGCTCGACGCTCCGTCTGTCTTCCTCCAAGGAGGTGGACGTGGAGGATGTCGATGAGCTTTCAGTTGCACAAGCATGTTATGTCTAATATTATAATGAGCACCATTTACTGGTGAGCGGAGCTCGTGCAGTCAGCTCTCGAGTTTGTTTTTGGCCAGGCTCAGGTGGACCTGTTTGCGACTCAGGAGACATCACACTGTCCCCTCTGGTTCTCTCCGACTCATCCAGCTCCACTGTAAAGCTTATGCTAAGCGGTGGATCAGGATGCTATTCCATAGCCTTGAGTCCTCTGATCTCCCCTCTCCTTTGGGGATCAAGGCTCACTCCTTATGAAGATGGCCTTCGGGACGCTGAGGGATGTCCCCGCCTACTTTGTCAGGTGCCTACCTGCATTCTGTGCCATTCCTGGCTCATTTATCTCGCCTTAGCTGTGCTCTTCCACACTAGGCAGGGATTTGTAAGTCTGGCAGCGTGGGCATACTCGTTCCCATAACGTTTTGACGCAGCTCAAGTTCCTGAAAGGGAATGTCTCAGGTTACGCATGTAACCATGGTTCCCTGAGGGAACGAGACACTGCGTCTCAGTGCCATACTTCCGGCATCCCTGCGAGCGCTTACTTCATTTCCCAGAAGCTGCCGCTGTATCCACCGCACATGCTTTTAAGCGCTTTTTAGTGCTTTTAAGCGTCCTGGTCACTACGTCACCCCGCCTGTGACGTCTCGCCAATCCATTGGACTGATTACACACGTAATTTAGAGCATGGTCACGCTGAAGACGTCCCCATAGCGTTTTGACTGAGCATCTCGTTCCCTCAGGGAACCATAGTTACATGCGTAACCTGAGACGTTTTTCCTCAAGGCAAAACTGCTTGAGGACCCAGGACAAAGCCTTGAGGAACACTCTTCACCTGGGGTGTGTTAAAAGAGCTTCTCTATTGGTTTTTGAGCTGCACTTTCTGGTTTTATCCCAATGGTCCATGATTAGATTTTACTGCTAAGAGTCATGTGAGACCCTCTTATTAATCCAAAGAGAGATTGGCACTGGAGACGACAGCATCATTACCTTGCCCTTCGCTGTGTGTGAGAGTGAAAGAAAGAGAGTGATAAGTGTGCATGTATGTGTAGGTGTGTGTGTGTTTGTGTGTGTGTCGAGGGGTTTGCTTAAGTTTAAAGATCTGAAGTTTAATAATGCATTATTTCAGCTGCTTTTGTGTAAACACAGATCTAAAATAAAGAATAGTTACAATTAATACTGTAATTTCATCTTTCTAATTAATGGGTTGTCATCTTGTTATATTTCCACAAACATCAGTTTTCCTGTTATGAGTTGTTGCTCCAAGAGATTTTTAAAGAGGAGAGGCCCATTTAAGAATTATTATAATTACTTTAAATGATGTCTAAAAGTCCTCAAGATGAGATGGAGGATGCTTTCTGACTTCAAAATAGTGGAACATCTTACCTCAGATGCTTCTTGAAGTCTTCTGCTTGGGCTGTTCAATAATTATAATGTACCAGAAAAGATACTATGTAATGGCCAGCAATCAGTGATGGTTCTGCAATTACAGACTAAGGAAAGCAATAAGTGGTACAAACACCATCATATTGTCCAGGCCAAGGGTTTACTTTTATTTGTAATCATAATTCTTGTGATTAAATATGATGCTTGTGTTTCGTTGAAGGTGATTTGATTGTTTTTTTGTTTGTTTATTTTTAATTATTATTTTATAAATACTTGGCAAAGAAAATGATAGAAATCAACACCTTTCTTCCTCTTTTTCTCATCACAGCTACCTCATCCTTAAGCTCTCAGCTCCAGCATCTTCAACAACTCCAACAGCTACAGCATCACCAGCAACAGCATCATCATCAACAACAACAGCAGCAGCAGCAACAACAACAACAACAACAGCAGCAGCGAGAACGAGAGCAGCGTGAAAGAGACCAACAACAAAGAGAACGTGAACGAGAGCAGCACCAACGGCTCTGCGGTCCAACGCATCTCCAGCCACCCAGCCATCATCAGCTCACTCCTCCGATTCAATCACAAGTCTCTGGACCTTCTCCGGGCTCCACCTGTACCTCCTCCAATCATAGCTCAGCCCATCCTCCCCAGTCTCCGCCCCCTCACAGGCAAAACCAATCACCAGCTCGCAGCTTGCCGTCACCTGTCACACCTCCTCTGCCACTACAGGTAAAATTAAATGAAAATTAAACCTTATTTATTTTATTTTATTATTTTATTTCATTTTATACAATTAAAGTAATGGGAGAAATTCACTTAACACTTCACATTTAAAATAATAACTGAATTTTTTAGAATTTTTCTGCATTCATATTATGACAGTCCAGAACTTGGTGTGTTTGATCTGGAAAAAAAGAGAGAGAAAAAAAGCCTTAATGTGATATCAAAATAAATTCCTCCTATTTCCAGACAGCCGTAGCCTGCAACCTTCTTTGTATTGCTCCTCACCCAGTTCAACTCTTGTTTACACACTAAAAGTGAAGTTATTTAAAGCTATAATATAAGTCGACTTGTGATGGGGAGCAGGTCCAGAGAGCTGCATGGCATGGGGGCAGTCGAGACTGAACGACTCAATGTAATGACCCCTAAATATGATGTCGCCTCACTTAAAGAACTCATTCTTCTACATTATTCACAACATGTCTGGAAGAATGGAGCTCTAGAGTGAGAAGAGGTCTAGGATGAATGTTAGAGAATGGGGCAGTAATTAAATTGAATGATTGAATCTGTCTGGGGAAATCTTGGATATTACAAATATTGTTTCTGGAGGAGGTGCCCGTTTGCCAAGCCTTTCCCTGAAAAAGAATGAAAATTGAAAGTTTATTGTTAAGAGTTTATCCCAGCCATCTTGCTAGCGACAGCAATAGACTATTATTGGAAATGAAGAGCTGCGGAATATTGAATTACGAGTAATGATGCTTTTGGTGTAATTTCATTTGAAACAATTTTATGATAATCACTTATTGACATGTTGTGAGAATGTATAGTTTATGCAGCCGATTGAACCAGATTAGTTTTCAACATATTTTATCTTTTGCAAATAACATCTTGCATTGGAAAGTCCAAAGAACCATATGCCAGTGTTGACTGGATAAGATGAGTTTGTTGATATTATATTTTGTTATCTGTTATTGTCATGCAGACTTATAAAATTGAAACAAACCCCACAGATGGCACACATGAGTCGTTGTTGCTTCAGTTAGCTAATGTCTTTTAAAGGGGCTATGTCATATCAAATTTGCTTCGATCTGACATTTTCATTAATAAAAAAGCTTTTTCAACTATGAAAATGTAACTTTAAGCCCACAAAACTTCCTCAAAATGAGCATTTATTGAAACTAATCTACAAAAAATGACTGCAACTTTGTGTAAAATTCAAATATGATAAAAAAAATTACTAACAATATAATATATGATCTGACCCCTTTAAATTTTCACATAGCTTATGTTTTAAATGACAAACATAAGTGATCTTTTCATGTCTTCCTCTCTTAGTCTGTCTGTCTATCCATCTGTTCCTCCTCTTATCTGGCTGTCTGAGTCGGTCACTAATAACATGCCCTCCTCCCTACATGTCCCAGTGGTTTCATTTCGGTTTGAGGGTCGCCTCTCCATCCTTCCCCGCATTCATCAGCGTCACAGCCCTTATTGCTCTGTGCTGTACCACAACCCCACTTCCCCTTCCCCCGTTTTATGGCTGCCATCAGTTTAGTAATTTATTTCACCTTCTGTCCCTCTGCCCAGCCTGTATACTCACCAGCTGGATCCTATGGGGCCCCACACTTAATGGTCTCCAGAGCCCAGAACTAGTGGTTTCTGTGGGATTCCTTAGGAAAGGCCAGCCTGATATGTCTTCATTTGCAGTGGAAGCACACCTGGTTTCGATCTGTCAAGTTATCATCAAGCCCTTCTGATGCATGATTCAGAATAAAGTAAATGTGAGGGTGTGACAATGGGGCCTCCAAATGCTTGGCTTTAATGCGTGATGTTGGCAGCCTCATTGGTTGTATGCAGGTCTAGATGTTTGTGAATTGTCCTAAATGGAAATGTGTATCTGATCATATGTGCACAGATTTTAATATATATTTGTGGTTGATCGTGTACAGTAGGTTTAAATTACTTTTAATAATTTTCAAAGTCAAAGAAAATGTCTGTGATTATATTGATACAATATTAGAAACATCTTTAAAAAGTTGCAATACTGCTTATCAGGATTTTAACCAAGGCAAAATCTGCATTTGGACCCAGGACAGAGACTTGTGGAACACCCTTCGCCTAGGGTTTGTTAGTAGAGCTTCTCTACAGGTTTTTAACTATGAGTCCTGTTAGCAGGTGAAATACTTGTACTTACCAGGGCTTTGACCAAGGCAAAACTGCTTGAGGACCCAGGACAAAGCCTTGAGGAACACTCATCACCTGGGGTGTGTTAAAAGAGCTTCTATATTGGTTTTTGAGCTGCACTTTCTGGTTTTATCCCAGTGGTCCATGGTTAGATTTTACTGCTAAGAATCATGTGAGACCCTCTTATTAATCCAAAGAGCGATTGGCACTGGAGATGACAGCATCATTATCTTGCCCTTCACTGTGTTTGAGAGTGAGAGAAAGAGAGTGATAAGTGTGCATGTATGTGTATGTGTGTGTGTATGTGTAGGGGGGTTTTAAGTTCCCACTTCATGGGGGTCCACATTACCACTTAACCATTGTGATTGTGTGTGTGCGGCAGGGTTTGCAGCCTGCCTGTCCTGTGGGTCTGCAGTTGTAATTGGGCTTATGTCTATGTCTGCTTGAGAAAGTTACAGCATACTTCACCAGAGTGCTGTTACTAGCCTTTAGGGGCAAGCACAGTTAGACACTGCAAACACCTAGAGAATTTTGAGAATGTGTATTTCCAGGATCTGTCATAATTATCCCTTCTGGTCACACAGGTACCACCCCGCCCTCTCGGTTTCTCTTGCCTCCCATTCCTCTCTTTGGGTGTAATCATTTTAGTAAGGGAGGGCAGACAGGTCTCCTATTATCTGAAGACACCTAAAGGCTCAGATAGAGGCCTTCTGTTGCTGAACTGACAACATGACAGCGTGTTAGCATCCCACTCTGATAATACCACAGTCAGTGTGTCCAGTGTATGAAGCTCACAAGTGCTCACCACCTGCACTCTCTCTCTCCCTCTGTCTCGCTCTCATTTTTCTTGTCTCGACTCTTTCTTTATTTGGTCAAAAGTTCAGACAGGGTTGTTTTTGGAGGTCTCTGACCCCGAGTTCCTTTAGACAGTTCAATTTTATGATTTTCCAGTAACATTTTTCGATAACACTTTACAATAAGGTTCCATTAGTTAATGTTAGTTAACGTATTAACTAACATGAACAAACAATGAACAATTCATTTATTACAGTATTTATTAATCTTTGTTCATGTTAGTTAATGAAAATACAGTTGTTCATTGTTAGTTCATGTTAATTTATAGTGAATTAACTAATGTTAACAAGCACAACTTTTGATTTTAATAATGCATTAGTAAATGTTGAAATTAACGTTAATAAATGCTGTAGAAATATTGTCCATTCTTAGTTCATGTTAACTAAAGTAGTTAACTAATGTTAACTAATGAACCTTATTGTAAAGTGTTACCCATTTTTCTGTAGGCAGTAATATTTTTAAACTGATTTAAGTGGAGATGCATGCTTGTTTCTTTATTTTAGTTTAACCGAGGTCTGACAAAACTAGCATTAATAATGGCAACTATCACTTAGATTATATTTGGATCTCAATTGTGGTGACGGCATCATTTAAATTTATAAATGTACTGTAACATATAATAAATGTATAACATCTACGAATAAAAAATAAATAGCAGTATTTAACTATATTTTGAATTTACTTAAATACACTATTAAATGATGACCCTTTTAGAATTGAGTTTTTTTTTTTTCGTTGAAACAAACTGATTTGCTGCTGATTTGCTTTTGTCCATATAATGTTGTTTCAGAACCAACTGACTTTTGTTTTATGGACAAAAACATTTTTTTTTTTCCAAAATATCTTCTGTGTTCAGCTACACAGGTTTGGAATGACTCAAAAGGGTGAGTAAATGTAGATTTTTGGGTGAACTATTAGGACCATTGCTATTTTTATTTAGCTACTCCACAACACTGTATCAAAAATCAAAATATTACCATTGCAATCTTGTAATCCAAAGTTTAAAACATCTCCCATCCATCTCCCCTTCTGTTTTTGAAAAACTGATTCTTTTACCTAATAGCAAACTCTAACAACAACAAAAAAATCTAAGAAAAAAAAAAGGAAGAAGAAGCAGGGAAGGCAGAGATGAGCGGTTGTGACGACAACCAGACGGTGGAGATTATGAATTTGTGAGATTATGAAAGTGTGTTAATTGGCTGATTAGCAGGATGGCTGGATTTGCAGGTGCTGATTGATTGGAGCGACGGGGTTTCTCCACGCTGAGGGGACTCGGGGATTTGAGGAGGAGGGGGCAGTTCGGTGGGCAAGCCGGTTACACCGGAATTGATCTTAATTAGATCTGAGAGACCTGCCACAGCAGAATGGTCACAGCGATTAAAATGAAAAACAGGAGAAATTACTGATCAAATTAATCATAATGTCAGCCTACAGCTGTAGGTCTGCTGTAATTTGCCACTCCACTGGCTTATATCAGCCCTAAGCCATACACACACGCACACTGATCTGTGGCAGAAAGAGAGAGAGGGGAGGAGGGCAGACCATCCATATACACACACACACACACTGAGTCAGGCACACTGAAATAGGCACATATACAGTATATACGCGTGTTGTGAAGATTTTGTGACGAAAGGTTGTGCTGTTTTTTGTGGAAACTGTGATACATGATACATTTTTCAGGATTCATTAATTTCATTGATTCATTGATAGAAAGTTCAAATGAACAGCATTTATTTTAAACATTTTTTTAACATTATAAATGTTAAATTATAAAATATATATATAAGGTCAAAGGCTCATGGTTTGGATGGTTACCCAAAACTACACCATTCTGATGATGAAAACATTTGTTCATTGCTGGCCATTTTCTTTTGCAATATACAGTATATTTATATATTTTTTTTTCTTTTAATGTAAAATAAATACTTTTTTAAAAGACATTTAAAGGCGCATAGTTCACACAAAAATAA